TTTTTATTGCATGAACCTCAAATAGGGTTTCTAGACTTTGGCATTATTTGCAGCGAGATTCGAGAAATTGACATCTTTAAATAATTGTATGCATCTTTAAATTGACATGTACTCAGAAATATTTTGAATAATTGTATGCATCTTTAAATAATTGTATTCATATTTAAAGAAATGGAGAATTGGAGATTGTGCAAGAAATTAGGTTTCACAAGAATTTTATTTGAACTCTGATAGGTATGTGTATTTTAAACTTAAAAATCCATGTAAGTTTTGTAGCCGGACAAATTAGCAAGATGGCGGTCGAAAACCAATCGAAGCTTCACATGCAACAAATAGAAAATATTAGGCATTTAATGGCAACATTAAAAAAGTTTGAGATTTTTTTGCAAGTCAATAAAAGATCATGAGTTTTTAAGCAACTAGTGTGGTACCCGTGCGATGCACGGGCTAGTTTTATTATGGTAAGCATTTAGATTGGATGAATGAAAAAACGTAAACGCATACATTAGACTAAACAAAATGTAACTTATATATTAAGAAACGCATTATTGTATACAACATTATTTGTTTGCCCTTTTGTTAAATTGTCTACCGCCACAAATTAAAATTTTCAAACACGTAAAATTTGTAGCGCGTGAAACATGCATAAAGTTGGTCGTGAATGTTACATATATTAGGATTCTAGACAGGTTTAAATAAATCAATTAAATTATTTAGCAAGATATATCTTATATGTTTTATACTTGTTTTGTGCAGATTGCATAGCAAAATATAACGGATATCGTAAAACGTCTTTCGTGATATATTTTATTTGGTTATGAATGCAATTGGTTTGATATATTTTATTTGGTTATAATGAGTTATTTTAAATAAAGTTGAGTAGATTGAATAAATGATTTTTGAGTTTGACGTTAAATAATATTTAAAATATAATGATTAAAATTGATGTGATGTAAAAATAAGAAAATTATTTGATATTAATTAACTATATTTATAAAAAGTAAGAGAATTCAGGTGAATTGAATTTTAAATTAGATGATTAGATATAATATAAACAAATAAATTACAACTCATATTCAGTCACACCACTAACGAAGATTGGGTTTGAAAATTTTGGGTTTGAAAATTGCGAGTTCTTCCGCATAATCAACCACGTCCCTAATGGTTGTATATGAAAATTGCTGAGTTCTTCCGCAATTAGGGTACTGTCCTTAATTTAGATATGAAAATCTCTATTTAGCCTTATTTAAAGAGCTATTACATAATACATTTGTTCCACTAGTTTGCTAAGATGTCTGTAAAATTAAAATATTTTAGACACATAAAGGAAGCTACTTGGAAAATTCAGATAGTCAACCATCGACAACTTGCACATCTTGCACGGTTTTCACTCAAGTTATGGCCCGATTTTGAGAAATCACTACAGATTACCTTTCTAAGTGCATTAGACAATTGCTTCGGAAGGAGTGGGATATTCGACTCACACATGTGCATCGAGAGGCGAACTTCGCTGCAGATCATTTGGCGAGCATGGCGTCAGCTGCTCCAGTTGGCTTTCATGTGTTAACCACGCC